AGCCAGCTGTCTCCGGCTGCCAGCAGGGTGACCGACTGGCTAGTCGTCGGTGGAGGCTGGCTCCGCCTACATTCCAGAGGGGTTAGGGGTGCCCTCGCCTGCTCTCCAACCTCTGACCCCAGCCAGAGCCCACCTCCTCCACCCCTGCACCCAAGACAGCAGCTGGCTCCAGGGAAGGGCCACAGCCGGGTAAAAGGCTGGAAGAATGTGTGCGGGAAAGGAGGGGAAATGGTGGTGTGGGGAGAAGGGGGGGCTCCCTCAGAGAGGGGGCGGAAGTAGGGGAGGGGCCAGGAGATAGTGGGATGGCCAGAGAAAGGATAAAAATAGAGGGGGCTGGAAACATAAAACAGAAATAGAGAAAGGCTGAGAAAGACAAAAAGAGAGGTAGAGAGAGCAAAAGAGGGCCAAAAGAGTAAGGAAAAAAAAAAAGTCTGAGCTAGGAATGTGACTTAATGATAGCGTGCTTGCTTAGCATTCAGGAAGCCTGGGTTCGATTCTTCAGCACCACATAAACAGAAAAAGTGGCACTGTGGTAGAGTGCTGACTCAAGTGGTAGAGTGCCAGCATTGAGCAAAAGAAGTGCAGGAACACTGTTCAGGCCCTGAGCTCAAGCCTCAGGACTGGCTAAAAACACCACCACCAACAAAAACAATCTGGAGGGGAACAGGCAGCAAGCCATGGACTGAGGTGGACTCCAGGCACCCTCCCCCACTCTGCTAAGCTGGGTGGCTCACCTGTCCCTACTGACACCAGAGACAGCAGGTTCTCTGCCTCCCAGGGCTGGGCAGCTGTGGGTGGGGCTGGAGTCAGGACTCCTGGGTAGGGCCCCAACGCCCAGGGCCAGGAGGGGCAGCGTCCCTAGCTCCAGCTAGGTAACTCCCATTCCCAGAGCTCAGAAGATGAGGGCGGGATCACACTGGGCCTCCTGGGGGCGGCTGTGCCTGGGGCACCTTCTCAGTCCCCATCTTCCCCCACATACACTTTTTTCTGGCCCAAAGCCTGGCTCCTCCCTGCTATCCACCCCCTAGCCACCTCCAGACTGGCCTTTGGCATCTCAAAACCCTTCTTCCACCTCCAAGTGCCAGTCTGGCATCACCCCAGGGGACTCCCCCCTCAGGCACAATGCCCTGACCCCTTGATGACCTCTCGCCTGCCCACGGCTGCCTGGTCTCCCATGGAGCACTGCCCACCGTCAAGGTCACTCCTTTTGGCTAAGGCCTCTGGTCTCACATGTCTTGACAACGCCTAGTTTTTTCCACCCTCCAGGTTACCTTCACCAGCCAGCCTGAGACCCCCCCCCCCCACCCCAAGCTTTTAGGGACCATTTCTTGCACCTGGCACAGGCTTACTTCTACCTGCTGAGGAAATGTCTGATCAAATTAAAACAAAAACAAAAACCAACTAAACTACACGGCTGGCTGAAGGTGGCTCATGCCTGTAATCTTAGCTACTCAGGAAACTGAGATTTGAAGCCATCTGGGACAGGAAAGTCCGTGAATTTTTTTTTTTTTTTGCCAGTCTTAGGGCTTGAACTTAGGGCCTGGGCACTGTCCCTGAGGGTGTGTGTGTGTGTGTGTGTTTTGCCTTTTCTGGCTTTTTCTGTTTTATGTGGTGCTAAGGAATCAAACCCAGGGCTTCATGCATGCTAGGCAAGCACTCTACCACTAAGCCACATCCCCAGCCCCTCCCTGAGAATCCTATTTTCAATTAACTAGCAACAACAATAACAACAAAACACCTAGGACTGGAGCTGTGGCTCAAGTGGTAAAGTGCCAGCCTTGAGTGAAAAAGCTAAGGGCTAGTGTCCAGGCCCTGAGTTCCAGTCCCAATGCAGGGACATGGGCCTGAATTCACACACACAACCATGGCAAGTTGGCAGCAACCTGGAATTCCAGCCCAGGGTCCTCCACTCCCCAAGCTCTGGCCCAGCCCCATCAGCCAGGATCTCAGACAAGTATAGCCAGACTCTTCCCAACCTCCATCTCTCCCAGCAGCCTCGCAGTTTCCTCCCTAAGATCTGTATATGCAAACCATATACACCTTCCTGGCCTCCACCTCCTGCAGGGCAAATGCTGCTAGGACCTCCGCCTATCCTAGATTCGGCCAAGCATCAAACCACATCCCGGATGCAGCCCCTGGTCTCCCACCTGCTCTTCCAGACTCAGACTTGAGGACCACCCTTTTGGGGTCCTTGTCACTTTTGCTTTGGATCCCATTTTTGTTTTTCTTCTATAAACTTCACTTCCCTGCCGCCTCCCAGGGCCCGCAGTTTCCCGTTTCTAGGCTCCTGTAATGCTGATGTGGCGGGGCCCCTACCTTAGGCAGCCTGCCCCTCTTTGTAGAACAACACTTGGTCAACTTGTATTTCTCTGTCAGAACACCAGCCCCAATCCCTCGCCTTCAGGTCCCCTCCCCTCCCAGAGCTGGGACTCCTCCCTCCCTCCCTCAGCCTGGAAGCCGCAGAAGAGCCGAGCAAGGGTCAGGTACACACAGGGATACAGCAGGAAATGTCTGGGCGTGAAAGGAGGGGTCACGTGGCGAGCCCGTGCCAGGGGTCCACGTGCGGCGCCCCCAAGTACGCCCCCTCTTCCGTCCAAGTTCTACCGCAGCCGTCAGGCCTCGGCTACGTCTCCCGCCCCCAAGTTTGCAGACGCTGGGACGGGAGGGGGGGGGGATGTGGGGGGGAGAAGGAGGGTGTGGGGGGGTGCAAGCTTGGAGGTGCCGCTGCGCTTCCGCACTCGCGCACTCAGCCCTGACAAGCTGAAATCCCGCCCCCAAATGCCCATCTCGCTCTTCCATTGGTTCATGCAGATAATCTAACCGCATGATCGCCAATGAGACACCTCCGGGAGTAGGCGGGGCCTGGGCCTCCCGACGTGCACTCGGGGATTGGGCGTCCTCTTCGCGGTGACGTCAGGCTCCGTTCGCGGCGCGTTGCCCAGGAAACCGCGTTTCCATCTCTGCGGGTTTCCGGGGGAGCATCCCCCTCCCATTCAGCTTTTTCCTCAATGGGGGGGGGGGGCGGGAGAGAGGAAGCTGTGCAGGGTGACCCCTCCCCCTGAGATCGCAGCAGCCCCTTCCCTCTCTGAGCCTGGGTTTTCCTTTTCTTGCCTCCACGCCGCACGTGGCCTCCGCCTGCTGGGGCTTGCCAGGGCAGGTGTGTGCTGACGCCGATAGCTGGGCAGCTGGGACAAAGGACAAGCGAGCAGCCTTTAAAATGACCCTCAGTAGGATCAGGACTGCTATGAAACCTCCCAACAGTTGTATTCCTCAAATCTCCCAGAACTGAAGACACATCCAGGGTATGGCTTTGTGCCTGGTAGGACCCCTAAATGGGGGAGAGGCAATCAACATGCTGGGGAGTGGGTTTCTGAACAAAGGGGACACATTTCCACCTTACTGGGTTCGGGCAACCCCAGTGATTCAGCAGGCACTTCCTTTGCCTCCTCCTTCCTTGTTCTCCACCCAGCTCTGACAGGCAGAATGGTGGCTGGGGTCACACTGCCCTTAGCCTTGACCTTCAGGGCTGGGACTTAACTACCTGAATCTCCACCCTATGGCTTCCAACTCAGTGCCCATTGACCTTGAGGTTTGGTGGGATGGCCTGATGAAACATACCCCTTCCAGTAGCAGGTGTGGATAATGTGATAATGTGAGGTGATGAGGTGGTGGGAGGGGCAGAAGGCCTCAGGGAGATGTCACAGGACATGCATCAGAAGGGACTTGCACCTTCCTGAGGCTTTTGGGGGCCAGGGGCTGAGGAAGGTATAGAGGTGTGAGAGACACCTCTAACCCTCCAGGACAAGGGCTATTTCTTTTTCTTTCTTTTTTTTTTTTTTTTGCCAGTCCTGAGGCTTGAACTCAGGGCCTGGGCACTGTCCCTGACCTTCTTTTGCTCAAGGCTAGCACTCTTACCATTTGAGCCACAGTGCCACTCCTGGCTTTTTCTGTGGTACTGAGATTGAACCCAGGGCTTCATGCATGCTAGTCAAGCACACTACCACTAAACCATATTCCAGCCCCCCAAGTACTATTTCTGCAACTTGGTTTTCTTCTCTGTAAAGTAGGAGTGAGTATAATTACTTCTAGCAGGCTGTGGTGCTTGTTAAATGAGGAAATACAGGTAAGATTAAGAAGTAGGTGAGAGTTGAAATCTCTGCTCAGCCCAAGAAGATATGAAAGGACTCCAGAAAGAACTCTGGTGGGCTCTTCGTGTTTCAGGCTGGTTAGGAGCAGTGGACACAGGAAGGTGGGTAGTCCAGGCCATAGTTCTCAGGCAGAGCCGCTGGCTGCCAAAAGAAGTGAGCAGAGACCGGCAAGGTTGGAGCAAAGGCCTGGAGAGTTGATCCATGACCCTCAGGGCTGGGGAGAGCTGAAATGGAATGCAATGGTAGGGTGTGCCCAGAGGGGCAGAGAGGTCACCCTAAGCTTGGTCAAGCTGGGAGGCCTCAAGTCCAGCCTGAGGCACCTGTCTGGATTTGCACTGTAGGGGCTGGGGCCTCTGAAAAGTCTGCTTCTCTGGGTATGTGTGGCCTACCCTAGCGGGTCCCTCTGGGAGTCCCAGTGATTTGCCCAGCAGCAAGCCTGACAGTGATCAAGACTTCAGGAAGTACTGCTGGAGTTTCTCCTAGGGCTAGAGAGCTTTACACTAAGGTGGGGTGGGGGGCGAGGCAAACTCTGGGCGTCCCCGGATACTGATTCCCCACTTCCCGTTCTGAGAGCCTACGTTAGAGCCAGGAACTAAGAGGGGGCGAGGGAGGGCTCCACCCAGGGCAAGAGGCCTGTAGGCTTAAGCCCCACGCCCTGAGGGACTTCCGGCCTTGGGTACCAGGAAGTGGCCGGCCCCTCCCTCCCTCCGCCCCAGCAGTTTCCTGCCCTTCCCCAAGCCACAGAGGGGGTGTGGGAACCGCAGGGGAGCAGACCACTGAGCTGACTCCAGGTCCTTCCCCATTGTGGGTGAGACCCTCCCCCACCTCCAGGAGAGCAGGCGGGGACAAGACTTGTGTTTCATTTTCTGTTTATTACTTGAAATCACGGTGCTTGTGTAAGGTGTTTTTTTTTTTTTAATTTTATGTTCCATACAGGAGACTGGCGCTGTGCCAGGACCCCCACAGCCCGACCCCGAGGGCGGGTAATGCTTTGTTTAGGGGGGGAGGGAGGCCCTGAGAGGGGAGGGCTGCGGGCCGGTTCCTGTCTGGGGCCTCCATCCTCATACCCATGGAGGCACAGACGTTATTTAAAAATCGTTAAAAAACAAAACAACACACATTTAAATAGGTATCCAAGACAGTTTTTCAAAAAACAAATGCACCCCTTTTTCTTTTTTTTTTTCCTTTTTTTTTCATTTTTTGGAAAAAAAAAAACAAAAAATAAAAACCAAATCCTTGACCTCTAACCCTCCAGGACCCCTCCCTACCCACCCCCCCACAAAAAATTTTACAGCTACAGTTAACACATGATGTTCACATCTGAAACCATTAACTTTTAACACGTAATGGGAGAGGAGGATCTGGGGCTCAACTACAAGAAGGGGGGGGGAGGGGGGAACAGGTGGGGCCAGGACAAGACAGGCAGGGTGGGCAGGGCCCAGACATCCCATTATCGTTAAAAAAAAAAAAAATGGGGAAGGAACAAAACAATTCCCACCCCTATTGAAATGGCCCCAGTAGAGGGGACTCTCTCCCCGTTCTGGGAGGGCCTGGGCCCTCAGAGCACGAGCAATGGGGAGGGTCCAAATTAGACAAGCAGCAGACCCCCATGGGGAGGGGGGGTTAATGCTACACAGCGGTGCCCTAACTGGGCATTCACAGCTCAGCACCCCCTTCCCCATCCTGGCTGCAGGCTGAGGCCCCCAGACAGTCCCCCATCCCTCAGGTTGGGCCAGGAAGAGGAAGTGGGGGTGTTCCCCCCCATCACTTCTCTCCCAGTTTCAAGAGATTCCCAACCACTATTGGCTCAGTCAGAAAATTAATAATCTATAAATAGTCTCCAAGCTCAGGCGGAGGGAGGTCAGGGGAAATAGGGAATGGCGGGCAGGAGGATGAGGGAGAAACAGCAGTCACGGCAGGGTGAGCACAGAGGGTGCGTGAGGGCTGTTCTTAGCAGTTTCCTTTCCTGGCAGAAAAGGGTCTCCTGTCCCCACCTGACCCAAGACAGAAGGGGTTGGATTCTGCTGAAAACAGCTTCACATGGAAAAAAAAAGAAAAATGGACAGATGTGGAAAACAGTCCCCTGCGGGCTTCCCTCCCTGGTGATGTGGGTTTCTCCTTGCTTGTGGCCCAGTGGGTGCTGCTGGCCCGGGGTGGAGGCCAAGGTTTACAAGAGGGGGGTGAGCATGGATTCTCTTCTCCCTGCCCCCTCCCATCATCTGTAAAGTGCATAATGAGGCGTCTACATTTTTGACTTAAAAACCTGAATCGGGTGTGTGTGTGGGGAGGGGGGGTGGAAGGCGGAGGAAGGCAGAGCGGAAGGGGGTGGGGGCGGCTTCCTGGTCTCCTCTGCTCTCAGCCATCTGGAAAGACTGCTACATATTTGGAGCTGGGGAAGGTGGGAGGAAGGACCCAGCGCAGAGGCCTTCAGAGCCGGTGAAGGAGGAAGAGGTGGGCATGTGAGGAGAACGCAGGAGGTACAACCAGGGTGAGAATTTTTTAAAGAAAAAAAAAAAAATCAAAGGCTGGTGGTGGGTGGGGAGGGAGGTGACTACCTGCCCTCCAGAGCTGGGCCACTATACATGCACACTCGGCATCCCCAGGGCTACCTGCCCTGGGCTGAGGGTGTGCTGAGGAGCAGGGAGTGCCAGATCCTAAGCCACCACGAATTCAGATTGGATGTCGGGGTTGACTTCCGGCTTCCAAACGGAGTCCTCGAAGTCAAGGCCCAAGCCAGCAGCCTCGCTTGGGCTGCTGCCTCCTCCACTGCTGCTGCTGTCGCTGCGGCCGGCCTTGCGGCTGGGGGGCCAGTGGTAGGGGCCCCGGGCGTCCCGCCGCGCCTTTCTGCGCATGCGTTTCTGCTGCAGCAGGAGCTGAAGACGTTCTACCTTGCAGCGTGTGGCGCGGTTCTCAGTCTGCCGAAGACGGTCACCTGCAAACCAGACAGCAGTGTCATTTCGAGGCCCCCCATCTCCCCCAAACATGAAGGTCCCTCGCCTCCAACAAGGGCATCAAGAAGCCGCTTTCCACCCTCTACTCGCTGGGGTGTGCAGGGCTGGTGGACCATCTGTTTTGCAGAGTTCTTCAAGGGGCTATGAAAGGCATTTGGGCAGTGGATCGCTGACTAAATAAACTGGAGCTTGAACTCTCCTGTGGCTAATTTTCGGACCTGAGGAGAACTGAGGCTAGTGCCTCACGTTCCCACTTTTATGAACAGGGCTGTAGATGTGAAAACATCCCACGGATGGGCACAGGATGGACAGAAGGGTCACCATCTTCCCATAGGGCATTGGGTCAGGAGCAGTCTGGCTGTTCGGAAATAGGGAGGGGTTGGGGGTGTTTCCTGGCCTTTCCAAGTCCTTACAACATTGGGGGGCCCTCTGAGCCCACCAGCTAGGACTGACTTGGCCATTCATAGAGGTGCCAAATGCCATCTGGAGGTGGGGGCTGGGAAGGGGCAAAGAGGAAGTAGAACTGGAGCCCCCTCTGGAGCGCACAAGGACACTTTGTGCCCAGATACACACATGCCTCCTTTTCTTCCAGACTGGAGCAGATCAGGAGGAGCAGCAGCTGCAGCTCCTCTAGCCCCTGGGTGGCTCAGCTGCTCCCACAATCACCAGTGTACAACAGAGAGGCCTTGATAAACCAGGAGGATGGGTGGGGATGTGAGACCCCCAGGATGGGCACTCACCCGGGGGCTTGCACATGCGGATCTGGCTCTGGCCCTGCAGCAGAGAGGAGGGGGACGTGGCCGCCAGCTTCTCACAGGAGGTAGTTTTGGGGGTGAGGTCAGGGGCTGGTGAGGCGGGTGAGCACTGGGCATGGCAACGAAGCTGGGTCAGCGAGGGGGGCATGCCCTGGTAGTGCCGCGTGGCACTCAGGAGGTCATTGAGGATCTGTAGTATCGTGCCAATGTCACGCCGGGGCCTCCCACTGCTGTCCTGGCAGTTGGGGTGCAGCGTGCCTGCAGATAGAAGGGGTTATGAGCTTGGTTATAGACATGGTCACATGTGTAGCAGCAGGAGCAAATGAACACACAGACGATGTCCATTTATACACACACACACACACACACGCGTGTGTATTCAGGATCACTAGGCCAAGAAGAACGTGTGCCCTATGTATTTTGTCCCATATGTGATGGCACATACGTGACACAGGCTCTGGGGAAATAAAGCACTCAGACTCACTGCCAGAAGTGTGTGTATGTACATGTGGCTCAAGTATAAACATATAAACACCTATGGCTTGACATGTGACCTCAAGAGCTCGATCAAGTTAGCCTGTACTGGTGGCTCACACCTGTAATCCTAAACTACTCAGGAGGCTGATCTAACCCAGCCTAAGGGAAGAAAAGACTCTTACCTCCAATTAACCAGCAAAAAAGCTGGGAGTGTTAAGTATGGCTCAAGTGGTAGAGCCTCAGCCTTGGGCAAAAAAGGTTAAGGGACAGCACCCAAGCCCTGAGTTCAAGCCCTAGTAGAGTACAAGGTCACAGGCAGCACTATAGCTATCATCACGTGACACCTACCAGAAAAGGTCCCTGAGAAGACCCCAGGAGCGTGGTTCACAAAGCTTTCAATGACTGCGCCAGGTTTGCGGGAGCGAGGGGTAGGGCTGCTCCCTGGGGGGGCTGTGGTGCTGGCTCCGGGGCTGACACTGTTGCTGGCTGGCGGGGAGCAATCCATCTGCTGCTGATGAGGGCATAAGCATGTGAGTATAGAATTCAGGGTTTAGGGTATCACCCAGGAGTCTCCACCCCCCAGGGATTAGGCCTATTAGGGTAAAGTCGGAGAATCACTAAAGAAATAATCCAGCAGCCTAGGATGGAAGCAAACACCCCATTAGTCCCCAGTCCAAGGTCCAGACATAATCTATCCAACCCAGGTTCAGGGAGAGCCCTTGATAGAAAGGCTAGATCTATGACTCAGAACCCTTATCCTCTCCAAGTCCACCCCTGGGAATTCCAAGGACAATAATCCTCCATTCTCACCTCAGGGCAGGTGGCAGAGGCAGCATGGGATCGGAAGGACCCAGCTGTGACCGGTGAAGGAGATGCAGGGGAAGGGCTGGTGGGTACCGGTGGGACTCGGGCAGTGCTGGATACTGGCCGGCAGGGAGAGGATACAGGGGTGGTAATGTTGGGGTCACCCCGAGCAGCCGCTGCGGCGGCAGCTGCAGCTGCTAGCACATGGCGGTGTTGTAGTGGGGCATGCTGGGCAGCCAGCTGCAGTTGGACGAACATCATGTGATCTCCCACTCGAAGAGCCAGGGTCAACGGTGATCGGCCAGACAAGAAGTCACTGACCTGCAGAGAAACAGGCCCTTCAGCCTGGGGGGGGCCTCATTTGTGAGGTTCCCCAGCTCAGCCCAGCCCAGCTCCCCAGCATTGTGTGACCTGGGGCCTCTCGCCGCCCCTCTCTGGGCTCTGGGGTCCCTGTCGGTGCCACAGACGCTTAAATAAAATGAATCTGTATTTCCGGAAGCCTCGTCTGCTAGCCCGGCCCGGCCTGGGCGCCGCTGGGGGCTGTGGGGGACAGAGGCGATCAGACGAAGAGGGGCCTTAGCCATCCCTGGCCAACTTGGTTCTTTCTCTGAAGGGGAAGCTAAGGCCAGAGGGGGCAGGGCTCAACTGGCAGTCACTGCCCTCAAATAGCCCTCACCTCACAGCACTTGGCCCAAGTCTTGTCAGACTGTGCCTATGGGAGGGGGTGATCTCAGGCCCCCTCCCAACCAAGTCACCCAACAAGTCAGTAGGCGGAATTCTTGGACAAATGCTTCCACGATAACCTTTGCTTTCTCAAGATAAATATTTATCTGTACTGGGCGGGGCGGAGGCCAAGGGGCGGCCACAGTGCTGTGGGAAGGGGCCCCTAACTAGGTCTCTGGGGAAGCATGTCCCCAGAGACCCTCCACAAGCCCTGGTGAAATGTGAACCTTGTGACCTGCCCCTACTTTGTGGGTGGGTGGACTTATGGGTGTCCCCCCTCCCCTTTGGGGCCAGGCCAGTGCCTTGTTCTCCCCAGGGGCTGGGATGGGGAGAGGGGGGTGGAGGTTTCTGAGAAGTGACATAGACCAGATGACTCAGAGCGACCGCCTCCCAGAACTCCCTCCCTGGTCTGCTCTCCACTGGCAGCTGCTGGTATAACCTCTGCTTGGGGGGGGGGGGGGACCCATAGGAAGGGGGCAAAGAGGATACAGTCCCCACTGACACTAAATTACACAGCACCCCTTTCTCTAGACACCACTTGTAAGAAGGGCCCAACCCTCTTCCCAACCAGCTGAGTCCTCCTTTCCATTTACCCTGCAACTCCCCCCCCCCACACCAGGGGAGGGCAAATGGGCGGGGATGACTATGCTAGGCAGGGAAACAGCCCTGGGGAGCCCAGCAGCTCTACCCAGCACACTCCCACCTCCCTCCTGAGGCAGGCGCCCAGGGAAGATGTGAACCAAACATGCCTAGGGGCCCAGAGCCTGCCAACTGCAAGCCCCATGGGCAGCCAGGGGCTTTGTTCACACCTGCAGCCCCCGCAGCAGCTCCTGGGACCCCTGGCTCTTCACCCACTCTGTCCCCCACCTGTATGGATGGCAGACCACCCAGCTACACAGGCCCTACCTAACCCCTCCTCCGCACCTCGCTCTACCGCTCTGCTGCTCTGCTCAGCAGGCAGGATACTACACGTTGGAAGGGAAGGGGGTGACGGCCTTAAGAGGGAAGAATCTGCCACCAAGGCTGCTGGGCAGGTTTCCTGTGGCCTGGCTGGGGAGGCCCTGGAACCTGCCCACCCCCTCACCAGGGCGGGCAGCAGCCTGCTTCCCCCACCCTGGCAGTGGCGGATTGCTGAGGCCTGTGTCACTCTCCTGGGAGGTGGCCAGGGGCCGAGTTTGAGGAGGGCCTTGCAGCAGCCAAGAAAATGAGGAAAGGAGGTGGAGGGGAGGTAGGGGGGAGGAAGAAAAAAAAAAAAAGCTCTGAACAAAATCGGGAACCAGGGTTAGGGCCAGCCCCAGCCTCCCCCCCTCAACGGCTTACTAAATATTTTCCTAACATCCTGTCTAGGCCTCCCTGGCCCTCAGGCTGGGTGCCCTTGCCCCTCCCCCCTGTTGAGTTAGAAAACAAAGGCCTGAAAGAGGAGGGGTAGTGAGGGATGAGGTGACTTCTCACCCCCTTGCAACAGGGGTCACCCTGGCTGCCCCAGCCCACAGGATCAAGTACTAAAAGGAATTTGCTGGTGGCTTTCAGGGAACCTAGTTTTTTTGTTTTTTTTTTTTTGGGGGGGTGGTGGGGTCTCTACAGCAGGGATGTACTGAGTGCGTGGGGATACGGGCTAGGCCGAGAGTGCGTGGGCCAAGGTCACCCTGCAGGCAGGCAGGCTTGTGAAAGCTGGGCTCCCTTCCCCCCACACCCCATGGCAGCCACCGTGGGAGAGAAAGCCCTCAAGGTCAGGTGGTGAGTGCTGAGGGGGGTGGGGGTGGAGGAAAAGGAAGCAGAGTGACCAGGCCAAGCTGGCACCCAGGCAGTGTGTCCCCTCCCCTCCCCCACAGGACACTGAAGAACCACTTCAAGCTCTCCAAGTGTTCTGGAGTCCCTCCCATCCATGGGGGGGGGGAGAGGGGAGGAGGAAGGGGCTACCAGAGGTGGCTGTGGATAGAAAAGTACCTGGCACCCACACCCCTAGGTTAAAGCAGGGTGTGCTGTGTGTCTTACCTGAGTCTCCGTCAAACTCTCAAGGGCTTGCATGACAGACTGCTCCGGCCTTGAGGCCTGGGACTACAAAGAGAGGGAGGGAGGAGGGCCTGAGTGTGGGTTTGGCACCGTGGGCTTAAGCTTCGGGTGGGGAGGGCCCTGCGTTCTGGGGGTGGGCTGCTCTTGCAGAACAGGACTGCTGCACTAGGGAGGGGTATTGGTGGTGGGGCGCCCTGGGAGGGGGGCACCCTGCCTGTGTGGGGCCTCCAGGGCAGTCATTTACCATGAGGCCCGCTTCCACGGTGGGTACCAGCGTCAGCTTGCTACCATCCCCCACGCCGAACTCCTGCAGCTTCCCCGAACTGAGCCGGCTGGGGGGAGGAAGGAAGAGGGTGAGACGACAGAGACAACACAGGGACGCGGAAGCAGGAGGCTGCGGGGGAGGGCGGTGCGTGCGGGAGGGGCCCCCAGAGACGTCCTTCCACCCCCCACCCCTTTTTCTGGTTTCCAGGTCTTAAAAAGAGTCTGAGGCGTGTGTGCTGGGAGCCCCCGCCATACTGGCAACTCAAAAGACTTTTTTCCCCCCAGGAACCCCCAAACTCCTCGCTCTGGCACCCCCTTCTGCAGTTTACACGGCACTTCCACATCACCTGGGCTCCGGGGTGTCCTCGGCCACCCTCCCCCACGCCCCCAGGGCCAGCTCCTGTCTACAATTCCCCAAGTCCTGCTTGGGCTCGTCTTTGTGGGCGCCACAGGGCTTTGGCCCTTGAAGAGGCCTTCGGGGGCTGCGACGGGCCGGGCTCCCCCTCCTCCCACCTTCTCTGGCGCAGGCCGCCACTGCCGCTCAGACAAAGGAGACCCTCCCCCTCCGGCCCCTCCCCCGCCAGGGCCCCTCCGCCGGGGATGGACACTGCTTGTCCCCGGAGGCCCAGGGGGGGGGGGAGGGCTCCCCGGCCTGGAGGCGATTTAAATACCAAGGGGGAGGGGGGAGGCTGCGGGGAGCGCACGGTGGCGAGAACAAAGGGGGGCTGAGACGCAAGTGGTAGGGAGACAGCCAGACGCAGAGGGGGCAGCCGAGCAGATGCGGAAGACTGGGAGGACGCTGGCACAAGAGGGGGCGGCCGCGACCCCCCACTTGGCTTGGCTAGGACCCCTGTGATGTCCGGAGGCGCACGCCTTACCCGTAGCGGGGCGGTGAAGTCCAGCCGGGCGCCCCCGCCCCCGCCTTTGTGCGGCGACCCCGGGCGGGGGAGGGGGCCGAGGCAGGCAAGGCCGAGCAGAGGGCGCCCGAGAGCGCGCAGCGCGCCCCCGCCCCCCGTCTGGCCGCCCCCCGTTTCCCCGCGCGGCGCGCTCTTTGTTCCCGCCCGGGGGCCGGGGCCCGAGGGGGCGGCCCGGCGGGAGGGGGGGCGCGAGCGGGGGCGGCGCGCGGTACCTACGTGTCTTTGTGGAGCAGCGCCAGACGCTCCTTGGGCACTTTGAGGCGCTGGGACAGCCGCTTGCGCAGCCCCTCCACCGTTTCGTCGGGGGGCACCGACAGGTCGTAGCGGGTCCCCGTCGTGCTGTGGATGGCCAGGCTCATGGGCGCCGCCTCGGCCGCTGGGCCCAGCTCGCAGGCACCGCCGGGGGCCCCGCGCCGGCAGCTCCGGGCGCCGCCGGGCTGCGGCTCCATCCCCGGCGAGCGCTGGGGGGCTGGGGGCCGCGGGGCTCCGCCAATCCTCGCCGCGCCTCTGGGACCCGGACTCTCCCAAAACGGGGTTCTTCTTCTCTGGGTGTTTGGGGGGCGGGGGGCACTGCGTTTGTCCCTCGGGAAGGTCCCAGCGGTGAAAAGCGAGTCGGAAATTAAAAAATCCGAGTGGCGCTCAGAGGTCGCGTCGGCTTCTCGGGTTGCGCCCCGGGGTGGGGTCTGGGCTTGCAGTTCCTCCGAGGGCGATGGGTGGCGACCCTGGTGCGGCGCGGGTCCCTGAGGAGGGGCTGCCCTGGCCAGGCGGGCTCGGTGCTTATGCTGCTCGGGTCGCGCTACCCGGCGCGTCCCCTCCCTTAGCAACAGCCGCGGCAGCCGCTGCTCGCAGGATCTGGGGGTGAAAGTAACAAGAAAAAAAAAGTTATAATGTATCAACGTTCCAAGGGGCGGGGCCGCCGCCCCCTCCCATTCACTACTTACTCCGCCGGCCATGCTCCGGCCAATCGGCGCACGCCGAACGCCCAGTCGGCTGCGCTCCCGAACCAATGGGAGCCACCTGGGTACTGCCCCACGTGGCAGCACGCCCCGCCTCTTCCCCCGCCCCCGTCGGCAGACTGCCCAATAGAAGCACGGCAAGGGCGGGGCTGGCACTGCACCCCTCCCCCCCGCCCCCGTCCGCGCTGGGAGCCATTCATAAGGCCCTGAGTCCGCAACAAAGGGCGGGCGGGCCCAGAGGGGCGCGGGACCCTGGTCTGAGGTTGAGCTGCCTTCCCTTAGGGCCTCCTAGGGGAGCGGCCTTGGGCGTGGAGAAGGGGCTTGGGCCATTGTTCCTAGAGCCTTGAGAGGCAGGAAGTAGTGGAGCCTCCCAGTCGATTATGTCAGGAAACTTGCAACCAGCGGAAGCCCGAGCTTGAACTCTGCGCGCCTCGTGGCTAGGGTCCCCAGCCCAGAGGCTCACGAGGACTGGCTAGCCAGCCTCCTGGCCTCCGTGGTTGGGTGGGCGTGGAGGCCTGGGCGGGGCGCATGGCTAGGGTGGGGCCCCGCACCCCGTGACGTGGCCACGACCGGGAGCGCCCGTCCTGAGCCGGTGCCACCTCGCGTCCCAGCAGCCCGCCCACCCCCAGCTCCCCATCCTCCCCTCCTCCCTCCGGGACGGGCCCGTTTCCCGAGAGGCGCCCGCCCGAGCCATGACGTGACGCGGCGTCCCCGGCTGCGCCCGCGCGCGCCGCTCAGGGCAGCGGTGAGTCAGCAGCTCCGGCGCGCCCTCTTCTGGCGCAGCCCGGGAGCGAGGCCCTGGGTCCCGGAGGAGGGGGCGCCGCACGGCAGAGCAGGGGAAAGGGCACCGGGATTGCGGGTCTGGGCTGAGCCCCGCTGGGGGACTATCGAGTCTACGCGCCAAGGCTGGCCTGACAGCAGAGGAGGAAACAGGCCAGAGCGGCAACTAGTTCAAGGTCACTGGCGCGGAAGGGGGGAGTGCCCTGGGGGGCGGGGCGGGGGCTGCGGTGCTGCCAGGGCGGCGCCGGCGGAGCCCCTCCCACCCCGCAGCGGGGCGAGGGGCTCCGGGTCTTTGGGTCTTGGGTACCCCACGCCCTGTCTGCCCCAAGAACAAAGAAAAGTAGGGCACTCTGTGCAGTCTGGACAGGACCCCTCCTGTCCCGCGAGGTCCCGCCCCCCACTCACCGGGCGCGGCAGTTCTTGGGTCCCTGTGGTTCCGAGCGACCGACGGCGGGGACAGTGTGCGGTGGCCAGGCCGGTCTGGGGCCGGGCGGGCGGCCCCGGAGCCTTTATCCGCGCCGCCTTCCCTCGGGGTGGAGTTTGGGCGGGTAGGGGGCGGGGGGCCGGGCAGGCGGTGACGCAGCTGGCCCCCCGCCCCTGCTGGCTGGCCAGGGCCCCGGGGCACACCGGCGGCCCGGGACACCTGGCTCAACTTCGAGCCTCAGTGATACGAGGGGCAGGATCACCGAGCTGGGGTCGTCGGGCTTTGTTGTGGACCCAGATGCTCCCTGAGACCAGGTTTGAGGGCGTCCGGCCGGGTTCCCGGCCGCTCCCCCTTTCCTGCCAGCTGGTGCTTCCGCCTGGGGGCGCCCGTGGGGGGGGGGGGAGGGAAGGGGAGGGCTGAGTCAGCGGCCGCTGTCCAGGAAAACAGGCTGGAGTCACCTGCCAGGCAGCGGGGTGCCCCAGCTTGCTGCTGGGTAGCCTGCCCTCCTGCATCCCTTAACGGTGACCTCAGAGGGCATTTCTGGAGAGATTAAGGCAGCACGGGGCCGTCCTAGTCACCACTGGCTATGCTGTGTGACAGAGTGAAGACCTGGCCTCTCTGAGCCAGTTTATTATAGCATGAGAGGCCAGTTTATTATAGCATGACCAAAGCAGCGAAATGAGAATTCGGAGTGGCTCGTTCTGATGTCTTCTGAGTGATGCTGTCATCCCATGAATGTGTACACACCTCCTGGTCCCCTATCTTAGGAGTGGGCAGGCACACAGCACTATGGGGACCAATGCCATGGACAAAGACTCTAGTGCTTGAGTGTCTCGGGTTCTTCCACAGGTGGCCCTGGCTTTCCCAGAATGATCCTGGTCGGTTGTTGAGCAAGGCTTTTCCCCTGTCCCCTCTGCCCAGAGAAAGGGACCGTGGGTCCTATCCCACCTCCTGTGCACTTATCTAGTTCCTGCCTTTATCTAGCCTGACCACCTCTATCCCCACCCTTGCCCTGTGCACCCCTCCCAGGGCTGTTTCCTTTCAGGTCTCCTTTTGGCTCCCATCCCACTCCATTCCTGCAGCTTCTAACTCCCCACCCTGAAGCAGGTGTATCCAGGCACTCCCAGCTTCGCAAGGATCAGTGCCAGGCCAGGGGAGCTGGAAGAATGCTTGGAAGAGGCTGGGGTCACAGAGGAAGTGGAAACGGCCCGGCCACTGAGCTACAGCTCAAGGAACAGTTCAGAGTTGGTGATGGGAAAGGCTGCTTAAGGGGCTTTGGGTCCAGGACCTGCTTGTTCTACTTCCAGAGGCCATAGTGGTGGGAAGGGAAGAGGTGCATTCTGGGAGCAAGGGCACTAGTGCTGGTCCAGTTCCCTGAGTTGGAGTTACTGTAGTGTGAGCATGATTGTTTGCTAGAACCTTGGTACACTTGTCACCTCGATGGTGTGACCTCAGCCTGGTTGGAGTATAAAATTGAGGAGCTGAAAGCTGGGCACTAGTGGCTCACACCTATAATCCTAGCTACTCAGGAGGCTGAGATCTGAGGACTATGATTCAAAGCCAGCCTGGACAGGAAAGTCCACGAGTCTTATCTCTAATTTTAAACTAACAAAATCTGGAATTAGATCTGTGGCTCAAGTGGTACAGCACTAGTCTTGAGCAAAAGAGCTCAAGAACAGTGCCCAGACTCTGAGTTCAAGCCCCAGGACTGCACATGCGTGTGTATGTGCACGCACACACATACACACCCCAAGTACAAAAAAGAACTGGAGTAGAATGTGGCCTCTTGGGGACAGGACACTTTGGCTGTTCAAAATAAAAGTTTAGAAATACCCAGCTCACTCCTGACTTTCCTTCCCATGTGGTATCTCTGCTTTTTGTCCCCAGATTGAGTAGAAACCCAGAGACATTGGGGAAGGGTCAGGCCTTTGTGGATCTGCCCCTACCAGACCTAGGGCCTGCCAGCCCTACCCTGACTGCCTTGGCCTACCTCCAGTGCTCACATCTCCCCTTTGGGAGTGGCCTAGCTGTGTCCCTGTGGATTAAGGACAGAGGGTCCCTGGTTATGAAGTGTGTTAGCCTCAGAGACAGGAAGCTCAATGACAGTCTCCTCCCACTGGGCCAATGCCAAGCTGAACTGTGTCCTTAAGTCTTATTTATAGTGTCGTGGTGGCCTGGCCAGGACCTGGTCTCTGCTGAGAAAGGAGGCGGGGCCTCGGCAGGAAGGCTGTACCTGGTACTCTGAGGCTACCACACCTCTGGGCAAGAGCTCCTGGGGAAGGGATGGGCCAACCACTTGCTTTCAGATCCCAGATGAGAACCCAGAAATACTACAGGATCTTCTGACTAGGGACAACCCCAGCACAGTCTCATCCAGGCCTGGCATGCACCACGGGGAGTCACTACCACGGGGCTGTGACAAAGAGGGACCGCCCACTGGTGCACACAGGCCACACACAGGCCTGGGGGTGGATGCCAGGTCACTGTCCTGGCTCCAGTGACACAGGCAGGGAGCAAGCCCTGACTCCATATACTCACCCTCCTGGAATCCCCTCCCAGCCTCACTGAGGCAAGGTGGGAGGAGGGAAGCCCAGACCTATTCCTCAACCAGGGCAGTGACTGTTGCCCCAAGGTTGCAGAGGAGGTAGGGCAGTGCCCAGCAGGATAGTTCCAGAGCTGCCCCTACCTGAGCTCAGCCCACCCCATCTGGGACTAGCCAGGGGCCTGTGTACCCAAAGAGGTGCCAACACCACCGGGGATTTGGGGCAGCTGGCCAGGCCAGGGCCACCCACAGTCTGGGTGTGCCCAGGGAAGGGCCTCTGTGGGAACAGATGAGGACCGCCTCTTCCCAAGGCTTGCCAGGGAGGGGTTAGGAAGCCACTGAAGGGAGGGCCTGGTGTTACTTGTGGTCAGGGCTCCAAATCTACAGACCCAAAACATGCATCAGCCCAAGCCTAACCCTAGTAGCCAGTGCCACACCTTTCCCTGCCCTCCAGCCCACCCTGGGTCTCAACCCTTACCCATCCACACCCTGTGGGAAAAATACCCAGCTCCCTGCCCACCCCACCTGGCCGGCCAAACTGTGCCCTTGAACCATGCTTTTTATTTTTTGTCATGGGGGCTGAACTCTGAGCCTGGGCGCTGTCCCTCAGCTCTTCAGCTCAAGGCTAGTGCTCTACCACTTGAGCCACAGTGCCACTTCCAGCTTTTTCTGCTTATGTGGTGCTGAGGAAGCGAACCCAGGGCCTCGTGCATGCAAGGCAAGCGCTCTACCACTGGGCCACTTTCCCAGCCTTTTTTTTTTTTTTTTGGTTGGTCCTAGGGCTTGAGCTCTGGGCTTGGGCACTGTCACTCAGCTCTTCAGCTCAAGGGGAGCCCTCTACCACTTGAGCCACAGCGCCACTTCTGGTTTTCTGAACCTCGATCCTCAGATCTCAGCCTCCTGAGTAGTTAGGATTACAGACGTGAGCCACCAACACCCAGTCCCAGCCTTGAACCATGTTTTTTTTTTTTTGGGTCCGGTCATGGGGCCTGAACTCTGGGCTGGGCGCTGTCCCTCAGCTCTTCAGCTCAGGACTAGCACTCTACCACTTGAGCCACAGCACCACTTCCAGCTTTTTTCTTTTTGCTTATGTGGTGCTAAGGAATTGAACTCAGGGCCTCGAGCATGCAAGGCAAGCGCTCTACCACTGAGCCACCTTCCCAGCCCAAACCATGCTTTTTGTACCTCACCCACCACCATGGCCTGTTGACTGAGGACACACAGGGAACCCAGACTCACTAGATTCACAGGCTCTGGTTCACATGAGGAACACAGAGGGCTGAAGAGGAGGAGGTGCCTGACCTCTTCACCTAGGCAGAAGTGAGGACACCAAAACACACAATCAAGTTCCTGGTCTTTAATTGGGGGTGAGGCTGGGGCAGGCCCTCTGGCCAGGTGGCATAGGTGCTGTAGGTATGGGTGGCAGCTCGGCAGGGACAGGGGTTGGGACAGCCCGTCAGGTTGAGAGATCCTTAAGAGAGCCCCACCAGGTCTTTGGAACCTGGCGCTGTGCTGCCCCCTGGCGGCCTTTTCGCTAAGCTGCATGGAGGAGGAAACTCCTGGGTTTTTCCAGGCCACCCCTAAATAGTCTTGACCCCGGGGGAGCTGGTTCCACCTGTGTGGTACACACCCTGCTGGGCCCTAGGCCTGTTTTCCTGATAGGCATACACCAGCTACTCCAGGGCCTTCACCAGGGCCTCGTTGGCCTCGATGCGTATCTGGATCTCTGCCCGTGCAGCCTCATCTGCAGCCCCAGACAGCTCAGACTGTGCCTTCTCCAGATTCGCCTTGGCTGTCTGCAGAGGGTGGGCAGGAGTGAGGGCAGAGTAGACCCAGCTGGGCACCTGCCCTTCCACTGCAGCACCTGCCCTTCCACTGTACCTTCTACACTTACCCCCAGATCCAGCATGTCCAGTGTCACAGCCTCTTCAGCCAGTAACTGCACAGAGGAGTCAGCATTCACCGTGACAGAGCCGCTGCTCACTGTGGGAGGGAGAGCAGGAGGCAAAGCCTCAATCCACTGTATCTGTGCAGCATCCTGGTGGGCAACCTCAGAGTACCTTGGCTTGGAGCTCCCAGTCTGTGCCACTAGCCTACCAGACTACCCTCTGTCAAAAATGAAATACAAGCTGGGTTCCTGTGGCTCGCCCTTATCATCCTAACAACTTAGGAAGTTGAGATCTGAAGACTGTATTTTATAAAGTCAACCCAGGCAGGAAAGTCAATGAGACTGCTATCTCCAATTAACCACCAAAAAGCCAGAAGCAGAGCTGTGGCACAAGTGGTAAAGCATCAATCTTGGGCGATAAAAGCGAGGGTACTGTGCCCCAGGCCCCGGGTTCAAGTCTCAGTATTCACCAAAAAAAAATTTACTTGATGGGTCTGGATGCTCACTCACAACTTGTTGTTTCTCCTTTCAAATATGTAACTGTTGCCTTGGTGGTATAGCTCAGTGGTAGACTGTTCAAATAACTGTGTGATAACTCTTCTATAAGGGAGAACTCTCATTTAAAATAAACCATAAAACAAAGAGAAAGGGCTGGAGCATGGCTCAAACAGTAGAAGTTTGCCTATGGGCTGGGAAGGTGGCTCAATGGTAGAGCACTTACTTTGCATGCATGAGGCCCTGGGTTCAATTCCTCAGCACCACAAAAGCAAAAAGAACAAAGCTGGAAGTGGCGCTGTGGCTCAAGTGGTAGAGCGCTAGCCTTGAGCTGAAGAGCTGAGGGACAGCACCCAGGCCCAGAGTTCAGATCCCACGACCGGACCCCACAAAAAAAAAAAAAAAAAAAAAGTTTGCCTAGCAGGCTGATAAGCTCTGAGTTTAATCTGCAGTACTGTTAATTTAAAAAAAAAAAAATTAAGCTGGGCGCTGGTGGCTCATGCCTGTAATCCTAGCTACTCAGGAGGCTGAGATCTGAGGATCGCAGTTCAAAGCCAGCCTGGGCAAGAAAGTCCATGAGACTCTTATCTCTTCCAGAAAACTGGAAGAGAACTGTGGCTCAAAGTGGTAGATAGTGAGCCTTGAACAAAAGAGCTCAGGGACAGAGCCCAGACCCTGAGTTCAAGCCCCAGGATGGGCATTTAAAACAAGGGGAATATGACTCAGTGGTAGTGCTTGCCTTGCATGCATGAAGCCCTGAGTTCGATTCCTCAGCACTACATAAGCAGAAAGCCAGAAGTGGCGCTGTGGCTCAAATGGTAGAGGGCTAGCCTTGAGCTGAAGAGCTGAGGGACAATGCCCAGGCCAAGTTCAGGCCCCACAACAAAAAAAAAGAGGGAGGGAGGTCCTCAAATTGGCTCCCTCCTGTACACCAGCACTTCTCCCCTGCAGCTTTCTACTTCTTTCTAGTTCTGTATGGCCCACTGACTCACATTGGCCAAACTAGGCTGACTTCAGGATCAGTTATGTGCTTCTTGCCACGTTCGAGGTGACTCCATCAGTGTCCAGCTCTAAGCTACTTACACTTGCCAACTTTACTTTTCTCAAGGTCTCAGCTGAAACCAGGCCTGTTGTCCTGAGGGGACTTAATCTACACCCCTCCCACCCCTCCAGTTCGCTGCATACTGACCAAAGTACTTAGTGGTGGTGCCATCTTCGGCATGAACCACCACCAGCCCGGGTCGCAGGACCTGCAGAGTGGGCACATGGGATGCCAAGATGCCGAAGGCACCAGTCAGTGTAGGTACATCCACTTGCCGGACGTTAGCCTCGTTGAAGAACACCTGGAGAGGAAATCAGACTGTTACTTAGCAACCCTCAAACCTTGTTCAAGAAGACTTGGTCTTTCCTGCTGTGAAATGGGTCCCGGAATGGGGCAACACGTGATCCACGGGGCTGGTTTTGGCCTTAGGTCAGCTGTTGCCTTTCTTTGCTCTTCTGTAGAACGGGAATGCCAGGATAGGAAGCCACCTTAGAGATGCTAGCAAGGGGTCGTCTCTATGAGAGGCGTCCGGCTTCGGGAGCAAGTCTGGCTCCAGCGGAGGGAAGGGGGGGGGGGGTAGAGGGGGGTCAGGGTAGAGAGGGTGCAGGGTGGGAGGCAGGAGGGCAAGGTAAGGAGAGGTTCCCGCGGGGCTGAGTCGGCTTCTGGACCGCACGATGACGGGCGCGGAGGCGGGAAGGGGTTGAGGAGGATCGGGTACCGGACCGCGGCCTAAGAACCCAGTGCAGAACGCCGGTCCAGCGACCCCGCGAGCTGAGAGGCCTCGATCCTGGGGGCGGGGTGCGCAGGCCCGGCCCGTTAGGGAAGGGACTCGGCGGGGTCGAACCTGAGTAGGCGAGGCGAAGGTGAAGGACATCTGGCCGGGGCCGGCGGCGGGGGCCGGGGCGGCGGCGGCCTCAGCGTACGCACGAGCATGGCGTACGAGGCAGCCCAGGCCTGGGCGGCGGAGCAGTGCAGCGGGCAGCATGGCAGCAGCGGCGGTGGCGGCGGACAGGGATTCCGGAGACGGGACGCTAGCAACACGGCGGCCTTGAGGGCTGGGAGGACAAGGCGCGGGGGCTTGTGGGAGGCACCGTTCTGGCGAGCGCGCATGCGCACACTACGACTCCCAGAAGACTGCGCGACAAGGACCGGGAGCAGAGCATTCTGGGGGTTGTAGTTTCATTCCGGCTCCGGCTCCCAGCCACCTTTGGAGAGGGTCCATGGGTGGGGAGAAGTGGGGAGGGTTCCGGCTAGATGATTCGGCGCCGGGATGACTAGAGACCTGCACCCAGCAGACATTTGCTCTCCCATATTGCTGGTATGTGTTATATTGGATACCTGTGGGAAACAATATCCTGCTCTGGAGAGCGGTTAGAGGAAGGTGTTTAGCAGACATAGACGATGTCATCAATCAGCTGTAGTGTGTTGGGTGACAAGTACTGAAATAAACAAAGGACACCAGCTGAATGGGAAACGTGTTGGGACACTAGCGAAAGTTTGCAGCTGGAGAAGCAGCTGTCTGGGAAACGGCCTCTCCCAGTCTGGGAGAGAGCCGGGGCCACTCGCCCACCTGGCACGTCTGGTGCAGGCAGAGGGCGCTCCAAGCCTGAAAATGCACTCCCTGAGCTCCACCGCCCCGCGGGCCGCCCGGCCCGGCCGCCCCCGCTGGCCTCTGACGCAGGAGCGCGTGCGCGGGCGGCTCGGAGGCCCCGCTGACGTCAGCCATAACTGCGCAGCCTCGTCAGTGGATATGACGTCATCACCCTCGCCCCCGCACTCGTGCAATTCTGCAATCCATAGTCTGGGCTTTTGGCCCCCACTACCTCCTATTTTCCTTTGCTCCTTCACAGTATGGCGGGGGAGGGGTGTCTGGAGGGAGACAGGAAATCTGTGTATGGGGGGGGGGCATTGTGAACCCTTGACATTGCTGTGGAGGGAACAGGTACTAATGTACCCTCTCCTCCCCTGTGATGGGAGTCTGGAATCTTTTGTGGCTCCTCACAACCACCAGCCTATGCTCTTGTTCGTTTTTGTGTGTAGAATTCGCACCTCTGGCCTGACACACAACAGAAGCCCCAGACTGGGGCGTTAATCACAATGATCTGGACATTCTGGGAGCTGCAAGTGTTTAAGGTGTAAAGCCTTACCTCCTTTCCTTGGTGCCTCTGTCTCTGTACTTATGGCCTAACGATAAGAAAGCAGGGAGAATTAATTAGTGGGTTCCTCAAAGGACTAATGAATGACTTCTCAATCCCCACAGGCAAAGACAGCACCCTTACCCAGTTCCCCAGCCTGGGATTATTTGGGAATTCTATCCCATCATAGACTCTCCACTTGGTACAGCCATTATGGCTGCCATCTCTAACCTTTCTTTCTGCCTCACTTCAGGTAGAAGAGCCCATAAAAGCTAAAACCTAACCATAGCATTCTTCTACTAGGAGTCACACACACGATGGCATCTCTGTTTCATCTTTTGTTTTTGGCAGGGGTGTGTGTGTGTGTGGTTCGGTCGTGGGACCTGAACTCTGGGCCTGGGCGCTGTCCCTCAGCTCTTCAGCTCAAGACTAGTGCTCTACCACTTGAGACACAGAGCCACATCTGGCTTTCTCTGCTTATGTGGTGCTAAGGAATTGAACCCAGGGCCTCATGCATGCAAGGCAAGCGCTCTACCCCTGAGCCATCTTCCCAGACCCTCTGCTTCATCTTTGAGCCCACTTTTCAACTTCTTTTGTCTCAGTGCTAAACCAGCTTTTCAGAACACTTGCTTGACCACCAGTCAAGGAGCACACAGGTCCATTTCCTCCAGTGTGCTTATGCTGTGGGATCCTGCGGCCCAACCATAAAGAAATTCCTGCCCCCTGTTGACTTACTTTGAGAGCCACAGAGAGAAACAGGACTGGAGCATGGGTGTTGGTTGACATGATAGTCAAAGATGAATCCTGGGATGTGGTGTGTGCTCAAGAGTAGAGCAAACTTGAACTCAGGGCCTGGGCATGCTCCTTTAGTGTTCTACTCAAGGATAGTGCTCTTCACACTTGAGCCACAACTCCACTGACTTTCTTGCCTAGGCTGGCGTTGAACTGAAATTTTCAGATTTCAGTCTCCTGAGTAGCTAGGATTACAGGAATGAGCCACTGGCCCTAGAGCCAGTGGTTAGGATGAGACCATTCTTGGATTCCAAGCCCAAAAAGGCAGTATGGTTGTAAACGGGGTTTGGGCTAATTCAGGTCACTTTGGAGAAGCATGTCCTTGGAGGAGGGGATACAAATTTGGGCCCCAGGGGCCCTCAGTACACCTCTGAAAAGCTATATTATTATTTGCTTTTTTTTTTTTTTGCTGTACCATAGAACAGGGTGTTATTGTGAACCCTTTACAGTGGCATGGGGAACCCCGTATAAGGGAAATAGGTACCTAGCTCTCCCTGACAGACTGAAAAAAAATTGTGCATCCCAGAAGCCTAGACTGTGCACCCCACCCCCATATTCTCAGGGGAGAAGGAAGTAAGCCTTGTCCACCCCCCAAGACTCCACAGCCCTGGGCCTTGTGTTACCACCAGGCTGGCTAAAGGGTGGGGTGGGGGGGGCGCCATTCCTTTCAAGACCTAGGCTATTAGCGGGCCCTGCGCAGTTTCTGGAGACCAGAAAGCCGGGGAGGGTAAGTCTCGCAGTCCTGCAAGGGGGGGGGGGGGGAGAGGGGCGGGGGCGGCTGTGCGCAAACCAGGCCCCCCCCCCAGGAGCGCAGGCTCCGCCCCCCGCTCCCGCCCCCGCCGGAAGGGAAGGGGAGGCGGTGGCCAGAGCGCAGCCAGCCAGACGCGGCGGCGAGAGCGGCGGGGGCGGCTGGCTGAGGACCGGGAGGCACCGGGCTCACCGAGCGGGCCGGAGCGGGCTCGCCGCCAACGCGGTCACGTGCGCGTCCCCTCCTCTAGCGCTGGCTTCCCCCGCGCGCCGCGCTCTCCATTCATAAATTCTCCGTCTGCTCCGCGGCCACCGGGCGTCGGAGCCAGCCCGGAGCGCCGCGCCGCCGCCCTCCCGCCGCCCATGGGCCGCACGCTCCAGCGCTGAGGTAGGCGCGGCTGGCCCGGGCGCAGGGCCGGGTGGAGGCGGGCATGCGGGCGGGCCGCGAGCGGCCGGGGATGGCGGCGGGTTCCGGGGCCCGCCCTGGCCCCGCTGGACCAGCGGTCCTGCTGCTTTGCGCGCGGTTGCGCGTGCCCGCTGGGGAGGGCGCGGAGGAACCAGGCGGGCCTGGGGGGGAGGGAGGGAAGGCCTGCGCAGCTTTGCATCTTGCTCACGCTGTGGCAACCTCCGGATCCCCTCTCCTACCCCCCCCCCCACGTCGTTCCCTAGCCTCAGTTTACCCCGGTGAGAAGGGGCAAGGGCGATGGCGCGTCCATCGTCTTAGGGTTTGGATGAGCCTGGTATTGGGCTCTGGTTTTTCTCCCCATCTCCGGGCCAACTAGGGGGTCGGGGTGGGCACCTGTGCTGGGAGCAGGTGTCTGCCCCACCCCCAGCAGCCCACCTGCCGCGTCCTGCATTTCCATCCTTCTTCGCAGTCTCCTCCCGTCACCATCCCGACGCCTCTGCCCCACTCCCTTCCTCCTGAACTCATTTCCCGACCTACATAGGCGCCCCCTCCCAGCCTCTCACCCGCAATGCTGAGGTTATCGTCTCTCGAGACACACCTTCCCTTTCCGTGGGCCTCAGTCCCCACCCCACCCCCTTGCTGTCCAGCCCCAAACCTTTGGGGCTAATGATGCTGAAGCCTGCGCGCTCCTCCGCGTTCAGGAAGGGCTTCTCGGGAGCGCGCACACGCATTGCCAATTCGAGGATGTAGGGTATAGCGCCCTAGCCTCAGCCCCTCTGAGACTCCAGGGGTCCAAAATAGCCCCAAGGATAGATCAGGTACAGCTTTGAGCAGCTCCCTTCCCTGAGTGCTTCTTCTCTCACCTTCCCTCAGTCCCTGCCTCAGTTTCCCCCATACTTGGAGGCTGTCCGTCTGGGTCTGGCTGAGCACTAGCGGACAGGCGCAGCAGCCATCTTGCTGTCGTCTTGGGGCGCCCCTGCAGGCAGCCTCCCCCGCGCCCTCTCCTCCCCCACGTTGCTCTGCCTGGCAACCCGCCCCCCAACGCGGCCTGCGCACTGTTGCCATGGGAACCAGATTCTTCAGGGCAGGAACAGATGCGCCTCTTTTGTCCTTTCCACTCCCACCAGCGTGGGCAGAGGGAAACCTTTACCTCCTGAGTCGTGACTTGGGGCCTACTGGCACAGCCCCTCCCACTCGTTTGGCTATGCACTTCCTCTTGTCTTAATAGGACAATCCTTTTCTCTCCCTAATGGGTGAAAAAGAAACATTTGGGGTACCTGGCTATCTCTTGATTGGCTACAAGTGGCCTCTCTGTTTCTCCAAGGGGTGCTTTCCCTTTCTTGGGCAGGGCTCCTGGCCCATGTTACCTTGCTAGGCCGGCCACACCGGCCGGGGAGGTGGTGGTGGTTATAACACTCATGCACACACACATACACGCACAGGCACCTCCCTAATGATAAAGATGGCAAAATGGAAATCCCAGGAGAGAAGCTCTTCACACCCCCCACCCCCCATACTAGGTGCTCATGCTGCAGAGCAGGGTCCTACCTGTCCATGAGTCACCGCTGGTGTGGGCTGCAGTTCTTGACAGGGAAGCTGGGGGGGCTCATTTTTCAGAGGCTCCTGTGAGGGAGAGGACAGCTGGTGGCAGAGCAGAGCAGGCCCTGTCCTCTTCAGTGTCAAAATGCAGCCCACCGCCACCATGGCCACAGCCTCCACTACCACTGCCACCATTGCCCTGACAACGTGGGACAACGTAACCATTCGCCCTACGGTGGGTGACCTCTAGGATATGATGTGCCAGAGGGTGGGGTGGAAAAGTTAGCAAGGTTAAGGATTTCCTGATGGTCCCCTATGTCTCCCCACAGGCTGAACCAGACCCCATCCTGGATAACTATGTGCTCCTGGTGGTGGTGATGTCACTGTTCATTGGGGGCACTCTGGTCGTTCTGTCTGGTGTCCTGCTGCTGTGTAAACGCTGTTGGGAGGTCCACCAGCGCTTCAACAGGTACCGGGGTACCAGGGACAGGGCTTCTTGAGCATGGGGTCAGAGATATTCTTAGGCTCCAGACGTCTCTCTCAACTGCTGTCCTTGCTCAGGGCCATGGATGAAGCAGAGAAGACCACTACCACCTACCTGGACAATGGTACCCACACTACCCAAGGTGAGGAGCCCACCCAAGCCCCACCACCCCATATGTCCATTTGTCCGACCGCCCGCCCATCCCTTGGCCACCTGCCCGCCCCCTGGGGCCGCCTGACCGTCTGTGTCTGTCTGTCTCCCCCACCAGACTGGGCGCTGCTCGATTCCGACTCATCTCTGTTTCCTTAACGCCCAGGCGTAGGTGCGCACAGGCGCGTGCTGAGCGAGTGAGTGTGTGAGCAGATGAGCGAGTGCCCACCGCCCCTCCCCCCGGCCCGCCCAGTCCTGCGGTCACTCGGCCCCGCGCCCCTCCCCTCTCCCTCCCTGCCCAGCGGCCTTCCCTGGATGAAGCGCGGCCCACCCGGGGCCCACCCTCTCTTGGCTCTCCTCGCAGACCCTGACTTCAGGGGGGAGGACCCCGAGGGCCAGGACGCAGAGACCGAGCGCTTCCTGTCCACCAGTTCCACCGGCCGTCGGGTCTCCTTCAACGAGGCCGCCCTCTTTGAACAGAGCCGGAAGGCGCAGGACAAGGGCCGCCGGTGAGGGGGTGGGGCATTGGGCTACAGTCCAGCAGAAGTTATGGCTACTCAGTGGCGGAGGCTGGGGTGACAGCAATGTCCCAAACAAGGACCTTGGCTCCTGCATCCAACGAGGTGGACAGCAGAGATCAGGGTCAGAGCAGGAAGTTACACCAGTGGGCTGACGAGTGGGTATTCCCTTGTAGGTATACGCTGACAGAGGGGGACTTCCACCATCTCAAGAACGCCCGCCTCACCCACCTCCATCTGCCACCCTTGAAGATTGTCACCATCCATGAGTGTGATTCTGGTGAGGCCAGCTCAGCTGCCACGCCCCACCCGGCCATTACCCCTAAGGACAGCTTGGCCATTTTCCAGGTAAGGTCCAGGGGCTACCAGCCAGCCCTGGTATTTGGTGGCTTGGGATTGGTTGGGCTGGATCTATCTTGAGGACAGGTGAGAGTCCTGGCTGGGGGTGGCTGGGGGGGCCAAGCCCAGCATGCCCCCTCCCCCCATCACCCACCCATGCTCTTTGACCTGTCACTGCTTCCTCCCCCATCGGCTCTGTCCCACAGCCCCCGGGGAAGGCCCTCACCGGCCGCTCCGTGGGCCCTAGCTCCGCCCTGCCAGGTGACCCCTACAACTCGGCCGCAGGCTCTGCTGACTTCTCAGAGATCAGCCCCTCGGCATCCAGCGACTCTGGGGAAGGCACCTCGGTGAGGCCTCCCCTGAGTTTCCCAGGGTGTACAGAGAAGGTGGGGGGCTCCTTCTTTTCCTTCCCCGTGATCCAAGAGGGAGGTCAGCTTTTGGCTTCTGCTTGCCCTGGCCCTCCTTTGACCTTTGGGTCCTTGAATATGGGATGTAGGATGGGCTTGAATCATCGAAGGGCACCCTGGGCTTCAGTGGGTATTCAGGCTCCTGCCCACCACTCCCAGCCCAGGGAAGACAGCTCCCTTAGCACTAGTGCTTGGACCCTTTTATCTAGGGTCCTTCCCAAGGCAGAGACAGGGCTAGGGAGACCAGAGTTAGCTTGAGGGGGGCAGAGTGAGGTATCAGTGAAAAGACACCAGCCCTAGAGATTAGCATAGCCCATGGCCCACCAAGAGCCCCTGCTCCCCCGTTCTCTCTGAGCAGCTCCTTCCACTTTGCCCCAGTGGTGGGTCAAGGTGTTGTTGTGACTGTGACACCCTGGTTGGGGCTGGCTCACAGGGCCAAGGGAGGGGACTTTGCCTGAGAGCCATCCCTGTTTCCTCCCAGTTGGATGTGGTTGCCAGGGGCACCAAGGCTGGCGGGCCTGGGGCTGCAGTGGCATCTGGGGAGGCGGGCGCAGGTTCCGGGGCTGGCACCGTACTGCAGTTCCTCACTCGACTGCGCCGCCATGCCAGCCTGGATGGGGCCAGCCCCTACTTCAAGGTCAAGAAATGGAAGCTGGAGCCCAGCCAGCGGGCATCCAGTCTGGACACAAGAGGTAAGTCTACAGCTCCTGATTGGGGGGGGGGAGGGGGGAGTGAGGCCCAAGGAAGTGTGGTGTGAGCCACCAGATGCTGCCTTGGGCAGTCACAGGTGGGAGGCTGTGAACCAGACAGGGTCTGTGTTCCCTGGACCACAGCCTGCTCGAAGCAGCAGCAATGTTGGCCAGAGGCCTTGCAGCTGGTCAGGAAAACCCAGAGCCTTTCTCTAGATGAGCTGTCTAGGACCCCTATCCCGTGCATTCTGGTTGCATTTAAGCTACCTGGTCACTGGACTTCCTGGCTAGGACCCCACCTATTACCCCCAGGGGCTGTGTGCACAGCCACTGGTTCTCATTCTCAGCCACAGCAGGGGCCTTCCTTTTCTCCCTGGATGACCTTGGCTCAAACCTTTAGTCTGTATAAGCTTTGATTTCTCTGGTGGGAAGGAGAAGGGGGACTGGACTAGGCCAGGGTAACTTCTTGGGGCTGGGGGCAGGGGGGAGGGAGGTGTCTTGAACCTAGGGCTTTAATCTCGCCCTTAGCTTTTTCATTCAAGGCTGCTACTCTCTCACTTGGTCCACCTCTACTTCCAGCTTTTTGCTAGTTAGCTGGAGATAAAAAATCAGATTTGTCTGCCTTGGCTGACTTCAAACTGGGATAATCAGATCTCAGTTTCCCAAGTAGCTAATATTAAAAGCATGAGCCATTGGCACCTTGCTTAGGAGAACATTTTTTTGTTCTTATTTTGGCATTGGAGCTTGAACTCAGGGCCTGGGCACTGTCCCTGAGCTTTTCTAGCACTCTACCAATTAGAACCATAGTGCCACTTTTGGTTTTCTGGTGGTTAGCTGGAGATAAGTCTCACAGACTTTCCTGTCTGGGCTGGCTTTGAGCCATGATACTCAGATCTCAGCCTCCTGAGTAGCTAGGATTACAGGCGTGAGCCACCTGTGCCCAACTTTCCCTTAGCCTTTTCATTCTACTATGTGAGCCACAGCTCCACTCCTGTTGTTTTTGTGTGTGCTGGTCCTGGGACTTGAACACAGGGCCTGGGCACTCTCCCTGACCTTCTTTTGCTCAAGGCTAGAACTCTAGCACTTGAGCCACAGCTCCACATCCAGCTTTTTTCCTGCCCAGGCTGCCTTTGAATTGTGATCTCCCAGTCTCAGTTTCCTGAGTAGTTAGGATTACAGGCATGAGCCATTGGTACGGATGAACTGGGGCTTGAACTCAGGGTCTGGGTACTGTCCTTGGGATACTCTTGCTCAAGACTAGCGCTCTACCACCTGAGCCACAATGTCACTTTTGGCTTTTTCTGTTTATGTGGTACTGAAGAATTGAACTCAGGGCTTCATGCATACTAGGCAAACACTCTAACCACATTCCCAGCCCTGAACTTTTTTTTTTTTTAAGTAGGTTTCTAGATAGTAGTATTTCTGGTTTTCGTAATCAGTCATTAACTCAAACTGCTATTTTATTTACAAAGACAGGATCCACTTGGCTTGTGAGTAGCACCCTCCTGACCCTTCAGGACAGGGCTTCCTTATTTCCAGCCCGAAGCAGGGCCCTGTGGGGGTGAGGGAGAAGAAAAGGACCCCACCTATAGGCAGGCAGCAATCATCATTCCTGCTTAGGGAACCTCACTCACCTGGCAGGCCTGGGTGTCTACTGCCCTATGAAAAGGTGGTTGTGATGGCAGGTCACATTAGGAAAGGCCTCCAGACTTGACCTAGGGAATGCGTAATAGGTGTCAGAGAATGACTAGCTGGTGAAAGTTTTAAGTGCCCACTGAAGAGAAGGCAGGAAAACACTTGCTCTAGTCACTAGTGGCTCCTAGCTGGGTTTTGAAAGGAAGCCCACTCTGCTGCCCTGTTCAATCTGGGAGACAGGTTCTGAGACAGCCTTGATCCTGGCTGTAATAATAGTCACAGCAGCTACACAGGTCCAGAACCTGTTTGCTCTGAAGCCTGCCTACACTGATGGCCTGGGGCCATGGGCAAGGGTGGGGCAGTCCCTCCCTCTGCGCATGCCCCCCCCCCCCCCCCCCCCCCGCCCGGGTGCAGCCTGCACTAGGTATCTCCTTTCCCTCCTAGTGCCCACCAGCCCTAGCTCTACTCTTCCACACTTGGAGATGGGCTAAGCCTGCCATCAGGTGTCTGTCTGGCCAGAACTACTCTGGGCACTACTTCACCTGGGGTCCCTCTGTGCCTTACTGTGCTCACCTGTACTTCAGCTTCCACGCTCCCCCAGTTCAAGTAGCAAGTCCAAGGCTTGGACTTGGATGTATTAGAGAAGCACAGCAGGCTAATGACCTTCCCCTGCACAGGTTCCCCCAAGCGCCACCACTTCCAGCGGCAGCGGGCAGCCAGCGAAAGCATGGAGCAAGAGGGGGATGCCCCCCATGCCGACTTCATCCAGTACATTGCTGGAGCCGGAGATGCCATGGCCTTCCCACACCCCCGCCCCTTTCTGGCCAGCCCCACCAGCCCGCCCCCCGCTCTCGGCAGGTATTTTTCAGTAGATAGAGGTGCTAGGGGTGGGCCTGTGGGCCCCTTCCCTACTCCATTCCCCCTAGGTGGCCCAGGGAGCACCCTCCAGGCCCTGTGGACACGCCTCCCCCTGGCGGCCTGGGGGCCACCTCTCCAGCAAGGACCGGAGCAGGGAAGCAGGGAGACACTGGGTAAGGGTAGATGGGCAGGTGTGGTCCCAGACAAAGGCCCTAGGGCCCCTAGAATGAGACACCTGCCCAGGCCAGGCCACCATGGGCTAGTGCCCACCCTAGTGCTGCCACTTCAGCATAGATTCCACAGCCTTAAGGGCTCTTTGGTGGCCCCAGGCCCCCTCTCACCTGCCCACACTCCTGAAAGATGGGCAGTCCCTTCTCAGAAACTGCTATGACCCAAAGGCACTATCCTAAAGTCCCAAGCCCAAGCCAGTGGGATGAAGGCCTGGGAGGGGGAGAATAGCAAGGTGCCATTCAAGCTTGGGCAGCTCCAGCCTTATACATCCTTCAGTCTTGTCAGTCCATAACAGATGGGTAGAGGGCAGCCTGGCTAGAGTCATAGTATCCCAATCCATCCATCCCCTGTGGCATCCATGTCCAGGAAGCTAGAAAAAGGGGATGCTGTGGGTACAGCCAGCTATTACAGCCCCAGCACATACTGGGGACTTGCACCAGCTTGGCAGACCAGTATAATCCTGAGGGTCGGTGATCCAAAGGTGGGTGGCCAGTGGGGAGGGGACGAGGCCGGCAAGCTCTGACAGCCACGGGGTGGCTTACAGGCTAGAGGCGGCCCAGGCGGCGGGAGGATTGAGCCCCGAGTCCCCCCCAGAGCGCAGCATCGGTTCGGGGCCTGAGCAGCAGCAGCAACAGCAAGAGTCGGACGCCGAGCAGACCCAGGCTAGCTATCGCGACCTATGGAGTCTGCGTGCCTCTCTTGAATTGCATGCAGCCACCGCCTCGGACCATAGCAGCAGTGGCAACGACCGTGACTCTGTGCGCAGCGGGGATAGCTCAGGCTCTGGAGGTGCGGCGCCCACCTTCCCACCGCCCTCACCACCCACGTCACGGCCCAAAGAGGGTGAAGGGCGTCGCCTATTGCAGATGGACAGTGGCTACGCCAGCATCGAGGGCCGAGGCGTGGGAGATGATGTGGTTGAGCCGCCCACTTTCCCTGTCCCACCACGCAGTCCACCCCGCAGCCCACGAGCTTGGCCACGTCGGCCCCGCCGCGACTACAGCATTGACGAGAAGACAGATGCGCTTTTCCATGAGTTTCTGCGCCATGACCCGCACTTTGACGACACCCCAGCCGCTATGCGACACCGCGCACGCGCACACCCGCATGCGCGCAAGCAGTGGCAACGTGGTCGGCAGCACAGTGACCCTGGGGGTGCACGTGCAGCTCCGCCCCCTGGAGCCCCAGTTCCGCCTTCTGGTGTGCCTCGGCCAGCACGTGCACCCCTGCGCCGTGGTGACAGTGTCGACTGCCCACCAGATGGCCGAGCGCTGACCAGCACAGGGGACGACCCTGCCATCCCGGTCATCGAGGAGGAGCCGGGTGGGGGCTGCCCTGGAGCAGGCCTGTGCGTGGAGCCCTCAGGGGCGCTGCTGGACAAGCTAGCAGCTGGTCTCGAGGAAAGACTCTTTCCCACACGCCTGGCAGCAGAGTCTGTGGCGGCAGCCCAGGCGCTGGTGGTGGCTGCAGCCCCCACCTCCCCCGACCACAGTCCAGCCTAAGCCCTGTGCCCCCAACCCACCTCTCAGCAGCTTCTTCGGCCCCAGTGGAGCCGTGGCAGTGGCAGGGCGGGACGGACCGGACCTCGGGGCGAGCCGGTGCACACAGGAGAACTGCAAGGACCCTTCACCAGGCGCATGCACACAGCCCAGGCGCTCGAGCGGCCTCGGGTGCAAGGGCACAGTCCTGTGCCAGCCTCTGCGGCCCAAGTGAGTCCGCATACAGCCTTCCTGCTGACCTTGCACCCTCCTGGTGAGCACAAACACCACCAGGTCCTCTGGGTGCTTAGTGGGTCTCAGTGGCATCCTGAGGTGCGAAGCTCAAGACTCTGGCTTTGCTGGAGGGGGATTCATAAGTTCTTATCAGGCTTCCAAGGACAGCATTTGATTGCCCTTGGTTCTAGGCAGCAAATGGCTGCCACACACACACACACACACACAGCACAAAATCTCAGGCTGTTGAGGACCAGGAGTCCTGAGGCATACACATATCCCTTTGGGGGGGCTACTGAGCCTCGAAGAGGGGCACCAGTTGCCTGCTAGGTGCATGCATGGGCTTGCCAAGGCAGGGAACCCAAGAGGGAGGTTGATGCCAACCATTGAAAGCTGTTTACCTCACTAATCCACAGTGTGTGTTCATGGCAGCCTGAGCCCCCTCCCACTCCGAGCAATAACCGTGTCTGCCACCGCCAATGCTGCTGCTGCTGCTGCTGCCACTACGGCCCCTATCTGGCCCTACAAGGAACCTCTGGGCCCTGGACACGGCTCCTCCCTGTGTGTATCTTGTGCCCACCCAATGCATGTGGACAGTGCCCTGTCCTTGACTCATCCCATCCCTTCTGTGAAGCCGCTGGGGCTAAGTGTTTCAAAGTGGATAAAACACAGCCCAGGCGGCATGGCTTCAAGTTTCCCAAACTTTATTTATTGCCAAAAGATGGGGCAGCCCTTGCCCATAGCCAAGTGCCCATCCTGCCCCTTGAAGCTTTCTGCCTAATATGTAACCATCCAGTGATGGAGTTTGTTGTGTATTTGTTTTCTTGTTGATTATAAGTATTTACTGCATATTTGCTGGTCTGGTTTTTCTTGTGATCGAAGACCACAAGTGGCCTTGGAGGGAGAAAGGGTCAGGGTGAGCCACTGGACCTCTAGGCCAGGTAAAGGTCGGGGTTCAACAAGGAGCTAGAGGCCCAGCTGAGCAGAGCAAGGAAGAATATCCATCTATAGAGGCACTGCATTTGGGGATCACTGATTCATTCACCCACCCACCTGACTCCCAAACAGTTTCCAAACACCCTCACAGCCATAGCTCAAATCCACCTGTTTTATTAAAAAAAAAGGAAAAAAAAAAGGAACCAACCAAACAAAAACAAGGCAGCCAAGGCTCCCTCGAGCAGTTCTGCATGCAAGGCGGTTGACAGGAGGTCTGGTCTCCTCCAGCTGTCTGGCTGAGCATTCCCCACTTGTCAGCAGGTGTGAAGGCCCTAACACAGCAATGAAAACCACCATGGAGGTGGTGGAGAGCCAGTAGTCTAAACATAAAGTGCATCTCGGAGGCCAGGCTTCCCCCTCCCCTGCGTAGGAAAGGCTCCTCACAGGACTGCAGGGTCAAGTCCTGTCCACTGTGGGGTGGTGCTGTGCGCCGGCAGCTGAGGGTTGGGCTGGGCCTGGGTCTCTGTTGCGCCCCTGCCTGACCCTTGTGCTCCTGAAGTCCTGAGCAGTCAGCACAGAGGCATGGTGGCCACCTTCGAAGGTGGGCGGTGGGCCAAGAGCCTGCAGGAAGACTGAGGAGGGCCTGGGTGGTGGCACCTGGTGGGGAGTCCTGGCGATAGGCTGCAGGTATGAGGACAGAGACAGGTCACTCTGGGACTCTCAACCTCTGTCCTGGAGGAGCTAAGACCTGGGTAATAGGAGCTGTCAAGCTCCTGGACCCCATTGGGTGGGACATCAGGGAGGCCAGAGTCAAGTGACTGGCAGCCGCTACCTGCCAGCCTGGCTCTTGATACAGGTGACCACCATAGGCCTGTATTTGGGACAAGGATGTGGGCCCCACAACCAGGAAAAAGGATTTGGTTGGACATGGTTTCAAACTACTTCCTGCGCTCTGGAGGGACAGGCACATAGGAAGGGCTAACAGGACAGGGATCCAGCATGACTCAGCCCCACCAGACCCCAGCAGACAGGCAGCTCTCCAAGAATAGCCAGGAAGAGCTGCTGCCACCTGCCACCCACACAACTCTCTCCTGGGGCATATGAGGCACTGGTGTAGCTGGATGAGGTAGATCCCATCAGCCACGATTGGGCTGTTAATGAGCCCTGCTATGGGTTTTGTATAGATTTAAATGACTATAGTCACACCCTCTCAGGCCTGGGCTCAGGGCTGTGAGCTGGTGAGTCTAAGTCAGGGTAGATACTACCTCTGCAAAAGGGATGCTCACCAACAACACAGGCCTAGAATCTGCGTGTGTACCCCAGGAGGCACTAGGGCCCAGTGTTGTTTTCCCCCCACTAGGCCCATGCCCACCTGCAGGCGGCACCCTCACTGTTGCTTGCAGGCTGATAGCCGTCGGATCTTGCTGCTGGCACAGGCCTTACGGGCAGAGTAGGTGGCACCAGTCCGGCACTCGGCCTTCGACTTGCTGCTCAGTTGTGTAGACTCTGTGCCATTCATGCACACAGCCTTGGGTAGACTGTGGCTCTGTCCATTCTGACTCGCCTCCTCCTCCAGGACCTGTCCTAGGAGGAAGAGGGCAAGGACAACCTGAGCCCAAGGAACAGTGCCACTCAGAGCCCCTGGCCTGGTTTTGCCCCCCTGCGGACCCCACTCCCGCCAAGCCCAAATATCCCAGATCCTCTCCATCCTCAGGTGCTGTCTCTCAGCAGCTCCAGGATGACCCTCTATCCAGCCAGGCCAGGTTCTTCCCACAACAGCCTGAGGAAACCCCTCTGCAGACCATGTGCAGCACCCGCCTGGGCCCCCAGGTGGTACTGTATGGGTCTTGTCTTCAGGTACTGCAGTGCAGTAGAGGGAAGGCTGCAGGCACCACTGGCCTGTTCTGGTGTATGCCATGGGTATCTATGCCTGTGGTGGGCCTGGGCCACCTGCATGCCCTCCAACCTGGTACACAGGACACGGAATCTCACCTTAGATAGGGTACAGGAGAAGCTGGGCTCCACATGCCCAGCACAGGTCCCCTGGGGATGAAGTACCTGCTTGACCTGTGCATCAACAGGGCCTTCTACCCAGCCTCCACAGCCACCAACCCTGCCTAATATCCTGGGTCCCTGGCTCACCCTGCCTGGCTGGACCCTGTCTTCACATTGGTTGTAAGGAAATGGCAGGATATTCTCTAGAAAGTCTATCAGGCAGGGGGTGAGGGGTGGCTGGGAATGTGGCTCAGTGGTAAAATGTTTGCCTCAAATGCATGAGGCCCTGGTTCAATTCCTCCATACCACATAAATAGAAAAAGTTGGAAGTGGTGGTGTGGCTCAAGTTGTATAGCACTAGCCTTGAGCTGAAGAGCTGAGGGACAGCACCCAGGCCCAGAGTTCAAGTCCCACAACTGACAAAAAGAGAAAGAAAGAGAAAGAAAAAAAAAGAGAGGGGGGGGAGGAAGGGAAGGAAGGAAAAGAAAAGAAAGAGGAAAAGAAAAGAAAGTAAGTCTATCAGGCAGGAGACACGGTTGTGACACTCAACCTCCAGCTCTTGGGCCCAATACAGAGCCACGCCTGGGAGGGATCAATGCCTCCTAACTCAGCAGCTTCCAGAACTTGCCATGCACCCACCTTGTGCACAGACCATGTCTGTGTAGAAAGACAGCTTTGGTAATGAGGCATCACCTCATCTTCGATTTGGGCTGAGCTAGTGTGCATGAAAGTCAAACACCAGGATAGGATAAACCCCACAGTTGGTCTCTTCAGGCCTGAGCACTGTGGCCTGGGTGGAGTCCCTTGTCCTGCCTGAAAACCTTGACCCCACCTTATGGCTTGTCCTTGAGGACATAAGAAGCCAAAATGAACCCATCCCCAGTGGGGCAGTTGAGCTACTCCGTATGAGCACCACCATAGCTATGAGGAGCACCTAATTGGACCAGCTGACCCAGTCAATAAGGCACCTGGTAGCTTCAATGTCTCTAGAGCCAATCAGGGTATCTGGCACCCCTGCAACCAAGTGGGGAGGAAGATTTCATTTGCATAAGGAACCAGACCTGACCATCCCTGCATGGCTCACCTTCTTCAAGTTAAAGCAGGCTGGAAGAACCTGGGGACTGAAGGGTCCTAGGCAGAAACAGTGTCCTTGCAAACAAACGTATATCAAGCCAGAGGCTTGCTGCTAGGTACCCTGTACCAGCTCCCATCTCAAGGGGCCTAGCTTACAGTAAATGAAGGGAAAGTGGGAGATACCTCAGAGGTATCATGTGTCTAACCTAGCACAGAATACCCGGGCCCCTGACAGGTATCCTCATGATCTGAGAGGCAGCCCTTCCCTTCCACTTTATGAAAAGATAGGTGTGGATCTCAGACCTAAGGCCTGCCTGTAACCAGGGCCTGTGCTACATGCCAGAGCAGACATGTTCTAGCATAGCCCTATCATGCATGCCTGCCCCCATGACCCCAAGGAAATGTCTGGCAACCATCTGACAGGAGCCCAGGAAAGGCCTGGAATGTCCTCATAGTCTCAGGGGCCTGCCTCTGCCTGCTTTAGGGCTCAGTTCTGCCCTATACTGGGGCGCCTACCCAACTTGCCCTCCTAAGAAATGGTAGCTATCGGGCTGGGAAGGTGGCTCAGTGGTAGAGTGCTTGCCTTGCATGCATGAGGCCCTGGGTTCGATTCCTCAGTACCACATAAGCAGAAAAAGCTGGAAGTGGCGCTGTGGCTCAAGTGGTAGAGTGCTAGCCTTGAGATGAAAAGCTGAGGGACAGCGCCCAGGCCCAGAGTTCAAGCCTCACGACCGACCCAAAAAAAAAAAAAAAAAAAAAAAAGAGATGGTAGCTATCAAGAGCTCCACCACTCAAGGAGACTGAGGGGCCCAGACGCTGCTGGGCTGCCATGCTGGCTTGAAGGACACAGAACACTGGGATCCCCAGGGCCTAGGACATTCTGGCACCCTTCCCTAGCCAAAGGCCACCTCCCACACCTTGGCTCACAGCTCACACCCTTCCTGTTCAGCTCGCCTTCGCAGGCTCTTTCAGTCCTGCTCTGGGTAACAGCCCCATGTAGGACTTTGGGGAAGGTCCCAGGCTGTAGCAAACATCCATCTGGAGACACACAGCGGGGCAAAGCTTTATAGCAGAAGGAAAGCAGGAACACGGCGGGGAGGGGGAGAATGTGTGTGTGCCAATGGGTGGTGGCCCGGTTACACTATGCTAAGGCCTCGAACTCCTCCTCAGGCACCACTGCAGTGCCTGCCGCCTCAGCTTCCTCTCCAGAAAGGTCTGCACCCTGGCTCTTCTGCGCGAATCTCTCCTCGCTAAGCCCTGCCTCAGATGTCTCCTCGCCACCTGGGGAAGTAAGGGCAACACATGGTCAGGGCAAAGGGGCAGGATGGAGGGCCTCTGGACCCTCTCACATGTCTGGCTGAGGGGGCCCTGCACCTGTTCACTATCCAGCAGGAGTGAGAAAGAAGCTGGATTCTGGGCAGCACCTGGAGCTGGATGCCTAGGAAGCCCTCCCAGCCAGACCAGCCCCTCATGGGCTGGAGCCTGCAAGGACAGTCTACTACGAGGTTGGGGCCTGCTCCAAGGGTATCGGGGCCCATGACTGCAGCTTCTGCTGGCTCACCAGGCACAGTGAAGTCCTGGGTATATATGATGCCATCCTCGATGTCAAAGAGGTCGTCGTCCTCATCCTCGGCACGGCCATGCAGGTCCTCTAGGTAAGGTACCACTGTCATGCTGCGCCACCGGTCCTTGGTGTCTGGGCTCGGTGGGATGGGCACAAGTGCCTCTGCCAGAGGGTGTTTCTTCCGGAACCAACTACAAAAGCCCAGATGTAGTGATGCATATCAGAAAGGCTCCTGGGTGACCGTTGGGGCCCACTGCTCATGTAGGAGCCAGGAACCATG